ATCCATCTCTGCGACCTGTATGCACTCTGCCGCCTGTGTCAGGGACGCAGAGCACAAAAGGGCGCTGGCACCCCCAACTACATTTTCACCTATTTATTTTATTTAGCTGCTGTCACGATATAAAAAAATTAGAGGCACTCATTCTCATTCACTGCAGGGATCATTCTGATTTACCCCTTCTCTACCTAGGTTCTGTCAGAGTTCGAAGCCTATCAAAGCCCCTTCTATTCTAATGGTAGAATATCCGCTTTGCCGCTTTGTTTGTCTGATATCCATCGTTCAGTACTCTCTTCTTGGGGTTCCTATCAGGGTTTCCTCTGTCGCATTCGGGAAGTGTTTGGTTTCGTTGAGATGTTCCAGCTGTGGTGTCTGCTGCGCTCATGTTTACCTATATGCTCCCTGATCTTCCCATCGTCCTGGTCTTCTTCGTGATTGCTGCACCACTTTTTAGACCCCCTCGTGATTCCTTTTCAGAGATCTTTCTGATTTTATCGTTCCACCACCCTTTTTTCGTCACGTGGTCGTCTCAAGGAAACTTTAAACACCCACCTTCTCTCTACAATGACATCAGCTGATCGCAATGTCATGTCGTTGCCGTAAACTGGCTTGTTTCGAGGGGGTGCGAAACATCCGGTGAAACACGGAGACGCAGCTTATACAAAGCACCAGTTGAACAAAGACGTACGGACGGCGTTGGGTGTGGAAAACCACCTGTAGCGATCAAACCCCATACCAGTGACGATAAGACCCGTACATGTTGTAATGTAACGTCTGGATTCTGCATTCTTTGCCCTTATCAACGATTCTTGATGGAGTGTCATTAGTTTTTTTCCTTTTTCGTGAAGTGTTCAGTCTTTTTGGCTTTCTGTAACCAGCTGGTGACCTCTGTCAAATCGCCCATAGATCTGGCGTTACGCCATGACCATTTCTAGTCGATCTGTCGCATTAGGGTCGGTCTCTACAGTATTTCTGCAATGTAGTTGTCACAAATTGTCTCTCGATACTTTTAGTGGTTCGTATAGCATGGTTAGGGTGAGATAGGGGTAAGGTGGAGGTAGGTAGAGTAGGTTACAGGTAGTAGGGAGAGGAGAGTGTCGTGCAAGAGATTGGTAAGTGTTGTGAAGTCATAGGCATTTGCTCTACTGATCTCCCACTGGAGTCGTCCCGCCCAAAGGTACTTGGGTATCACTCATCCCCATTGTACAGTCGTGGCCTCACCAACTTTTTCTAACCAACTTCCATGTTCGACTCTCTACGTACTATGCCTTTCCTCCTACACATTCCAACGATAATTAAAATGGTAAGCGAATTTTTCATATTCATAAATGTTATCGGTCTCATTCTAAGCCTTGAAAAAATGAAGACAACTGAAGAAATCCTTTTCTTCCGTTATTGAGATGTGCAGAACCCATCCATCAGGAATTATGTAAGGAGGGGCAAAATTGATATTTGAAGAACAGAACCGAACTTTATGACTTATTTATATTTATATAACTTAACTTATTTATAGTGTACCTCATAACTCGCTACTCAATGATACTCTTTCGAACTGAAGGATTTTAGCATGTCTATCCAGCTAACCATGATGGATCGGAATCGGTTTTGAGCTTTCCTAGGTTTTCTCAAGAGTCGCACCTACTACGTTTTTGAATGGAGGTCGAATATGGGGCGTATCCCCGATACGAATTGATTAGTGCCAAAGACTTTATGCGTTCCCCTTCAAGTTGTGTCGTATCGTTGTAATTTATAGGCGCATCCGTTTTTCGCTTCCCAATAGCATAGTATGAATGTAGAACGGGATTGGGAGAATCCTGGTCAATCCAGGTCCAAACTTTAAAATCTTGCTTGCTTTCGCCTTTTTGCCCGTCAGCGTGCGAAACGCCTCCCCTCCTAAGTTCAGTGAAAACTCAGCCTTCTATCGATTTGGTTTCTGGCCCTATTTCTGGCTTTCACCCACTTCCACACCCATTTGGGACCCAAGTGAACCCATATTTATGAGATTTTTCTATTGGACGAAAAATAATTCACAGGTCGGAAATATTACTTTCAGGTGATCTATAGTGTAATGTATTCAATGTTCTGTGTTCAAGTATCCCTGGACGAGTTTTTGCCGACAAATACCGACAAACAACTTACAAATGTCAAATGGTATTATCTGTTTGGCCGATAGACATCTCTCTGTCAGAACCTTAAACAGATACTAATCAAAATTTCGACGGGAAAGAGTTTGAATGAAATGCCTAGAAGAGGAGTTTAAATTGTGGCTAGCCAGGGGCTCATTTCTCCCACGATGATTCCTCGCACTTTTTTATGATAGGACGTCAGAAGAATGTTGTTGAATGCCAAATGAAACTACCTTTTCTGGATATTTTGAATTTTTGGTATTTTATTAATGGTACTTTTATTCTGAGGGCTTGACGGTGTCGGGGGAGGGGGCGAGCGTGTAGGTGGCGGACTGTACGAGCAGACTCTTTATAATTTCTTCGCAAGTTTTTTTTTTAAATAAACACCATAATGAATTTAAAATAAAAATAGGTAAGTAATTATTATGCATAAATTCATAAAATTTACGAATGGAATTAAGCTCTAATAACTCTGGCTGATATGTATTTGAGAATTTGATTTCGGATCGATGCTCAAACTGTAAGTCAAATACATGGCGCACCCCGCTAAAGGGCGTAGTCTTTACTTCTTCATTTTTCCATTGATGAGGGAGATTCTAAATGGTTACAGATAATTGGAACATGTTTTCTTGGTTGCAAAACCTGGCCCAGACAAAAAACAAAAAATGAAAGGGCGAGTTTTTTGGGCGATACCTTTTTTT